CTTTTCAGCAGGGAAAAAAGAAGAGGAATATTAATAAAGTCCCAACCCAAACCAGTCTATGATTCTGTGGTTCTGGAATGCATAAAGGAGTATCTAAGCAGCAATCACTCATGCCCAGTGAACAGCAGCATTCAGTGTACTCACTGTAAAATGAGGATCAGACAAAAGGTCTTGAAGACATTAAAAGATTTTGACTAAATGTATTTGAAGTGGCAAAAGGAACAGTGCTGAACACAAGAGCAATGCCCCGTTCCTCATACAACCCCTGTTCCCCCGCTGTGTGCCTGCCCGCCTGGAGCCGATAGCCCTGGTGTGAATTACACGCTGCACTCACTGAAAACAATCTGCAAACGGCATCAGGGAATCACAGCTCGCCTTGGAGCAGGGGATTTGCCGGGATGGAGCGCAGGAATCCACCCGGTGGGTCTGTGCTGGGAAGGACACAGCCCCACAAGAGTGTGCTGTTCCCCACTCTTTTAATCCAAGCCTAACTCCTGCTGCAGCCACCGGCACACGGGAGGAAAGCCAGAGGGAGCAGGGAGCTCTGGAGAGGCGCTGCTGAACAGCAAGGGAGCAGGCAAAGTGTTTGAGCAGGAGCTGAGCCCACAGAACCGTGTGCCCCATCCACCAAACCCTGCTTTGAGGCAGCATCCTCTGTATGGACATCAACCCCAGGGTGACATTTTTATATATGTGTTAAAGAACAATGGATATTTGCATACATTGCACATAAATATTGCATATAAATATTTTTATGCCATGGCCCTTCCTGCTGACCATAGCAGCCTTCTCCTTTCCTTGCACAGCTCTTGGACAGCACTAACACAAAGGGGTCTGTCACAGGAACCATCACTTCCCTCTGATTCCAGAGCACAGCTGCTGTTAAGAGCATCACTCCCAGAAACTGAGCTGGAAAAGGAGCAGTTTGAAGGAACAGTGAAGCTCAGGTCACAGGCAAAGACAATGGTGTTGCTCAGCGCACACACATTTGCCTTGTGAGCCAGCATCCTGTCAAGCCTCATTGGTTTTAATAACTCAGGAACACTTTTCCAAGTCATTCCCCTGCAATTTTTAAACATTCCCCTGAAATTTTAAATGTATTTCAAAGGAGCTGGAGCAACAGTGTAGGACAACTTTCAGTGCTGGGACCATCCCCAGACGTTAGAGCAGAAGGAGCAGCACTGCTGAACCCACCGAGGCAGAGCCATCACCACCTCCCTCCTGGCAGCAGGAGCTGCTGGGCTCCCAGGTCTCCTGGAATGGAAAGCACAATGAGGTGACATGGTGGCAGTGTCCTGCTGTGCCACCACACCACACAGCTGAGCCCTTCAGCATCCTCCAGCCTGGACATGGGGATTCCCAGTGAAAGAGACCACACCAGGCACAGCTGGACTTACTCTTAAAATCCACTTTCTTACCCTGTGCTGAATTTTTCAGGCTTGTGCAACACAACTGAAAAAGCTTCTAAGCAGAGCTGCCACCAACTCTTTACTGACATAGATCAAGTGCCAATATCCCCATGATGGCTGTTCTTCCCTCCTCCTCCTGGGTTCTCCAACCCAGCCAAAACCTTGAGGTGCTGCCACCCACAGCAAGAAATTCACTCCAAGCTCATGACAAAAAATCCCAACTGACCACCAAAAGCAAAGTCTAAATACAAACAAGAACTCACACTTAAAATAGCAATTACATCCTAGGCTGCTAATAAATAGGTTTTCTAATGCAGCACTACTACAATCTAATACTATGCTTAATTTCTAAAGAAACTATGTTACAAAACCTGCTAGAAACACTCACAAGCTTTTACTCAATATCTTCTATGAAGGAGTGGGGCTGTTCAGCTGTAGTTCTAGTAGAGTCAGGCTTTTTTTGCTGGGTTGGTTTTTAAATTGAGCTAGTAATTTTTAATCCCACTGAATTAGGTATTTTTTACTCTAACAGGTATCAGACTTTCAGGACACTGCTCAAATTCAGTACCCATGTTTACACTCAGGGCTCAAGCCCCCAAGACAACACTCAATAACCCCCAATGCTGCTGCAGCAAGGTCCACAGAGAGCAGGAACTCAATGCTGTGAGCACAGGAAGCAAAAGGCTGTTGAAGAACAGGACCAGAAGGGATGAGAGTAACAGAGACAGGAGAAATAATGAAGATGGGAAGACACAAGACTGCAGTTGTTTCCTCACCATCAGAACCAGGAGCAGCTGTTTGCATGTTGGCTGAGAGGAGCTTTGGGAGGAGCGAGCAGAGAGGGGATGGGGATCCTACAATGCACAGCTGGAGAAGGGGTGAGGTTCTCCTGTGCAGAACTGCTGGGCACAGGTGACCTTGCAGGAGTGACAGCAAGGCAAAGGGGGGCAGGTACCCCAAGGCCTCACAGAGCCCATGACCTCACACCTGATGAGCTCCAAGGGCTGGGAGGGAGGGAGGCAAATTACATGAGCCCATGGCAGGAGGTGTTAAACAAAACCCACCTGTTTTGTTCCTTACTCTGGACCACAAGCTCTGGTTCTTTCCACTTTGGCAGGTACTTGCAAAGCCCAGGTGGAGTCTGGTCTGCAGCTTCATTCCCGTGTGTGATTGCCACAAACACAACTGGACAGCTCTGGTGGAACCAAGGAGGCCAACCAACACCAGCTCAGGGACATGGACACATCCATGGCCAAGTCACAGACACAGAAGCACTGCAGGGACTTCAGATGCACAGGAAAACAAGATCCACTTACATGGAAAACGAGGGACTTACACAGATGTATGTGAAAAACCAAATGCTTTAATCCATCTATCAAGAACAACAGTTCAAATTATTTCATTGGATACATTAATATTGATCCATAATTTACAGTGCTATGGACCATACACAAATTATTGCTGCAGTCAACAGCAGATGAATATCAACATTACAGTACCAAGCATCATAGCAAGAGGCAGTAATTAATGTCACTTTTTTCAAGAAATATAGGTATTTATACTATTATCAACATCAGCTTCCCCCCCAGTGCATTTTATGTCAAACAACATAAATGTAAGTGCATTATTTTGTGCTTTGTGCTTTCCTTATGTACCTTCTTTTTGCTTTTACAGGTTGTAAGAGTTAAATATTGCTTTATAGGCCAAAAGCAGTAAGGAAGAACTTTCCATGGTACTCTGCACATCCCTGCCTGTTGCATGGCTTTGGCAAAGTGAGAATTGGTCGTTTCCCCACCCACCTGCTCAGGGAAGCCACCGCTGCCCAGCGTCACACACGTCACTGTCACCAGACTGGGCAGCAACTTCTGTCCATCTCACTCCACCCAGTCCATGCCAAACCATTCCTGTGACTGCTGCCCCTGTCCCCTGCCACCAACCCCTCCAAAATGTCACAGCCACACCCTCCACCATGCTCAAACGGGCAAAGGAACCTCCCATTAGCACCCACTGGGGGTCTGTGTCTCCTAGAGGTGTCCCCACTGCAGTGTCACCATTCCAAGGGTGGGCAGGCTCAGAGGAGGGCTGTAACCCATGGAAACACAGGGGGAAGAGTGAGCAGGGCATGGCCAAGTTATGTGTTAGCCCAGAAAATACAAGGTATGGGAGCACACAACACAGCTGCTGCAGCCACAGAGACTTCTGCCAGGGAATCCAGCTCTTGATGGAATGGTTGGCCTTGTATCCTAACTCACCTCCACACAGCCAAAAATGAGAAGTCAGGAAGTACCAGTGGTTTCACATAAGCTTGAAAAATATTCATATACCACAGTCTAGACTTGAATTTCTGAATGCCCAGGGCAGGCACCAAACCAAAAGCCTCATTCAATACATTCAGTGGTTCTCAGTTACTACACTCCAGCATGCACACCCTGATTTGTTGTACCAAAACTGCAGAGCTGCCCCATTCTTTGGGAAGGGCAACACAGCCCTGTGTTACAGCTAAAACCGTTTTTTACACATTTTCCTACCTGTCACCCCAGCCAAACAGCAGCACCAGAAGCCTGTACCCCACACTTGACTCAGAGCTATGGCACAGCTGCCTTGCAAAGACTTGGGGGCATTTCCTGCCCCAGGACCATGGTGACCACAGCACATCCTGCAGCCTCCTGGGTCCTGCCTGGGCCAGAGCTTCTCTGCCCTAGGAAAGACATATTCCCAAAAAGCTGTGTGGGCTGAGGGGGAGAGGCATCATTATAACCCATCTCCAGCTCCTCCTTCAAGAACTACAAAAGAAAAGAAAAAAAGCCACAACCCCGTGGTTGCATCAACGCTAACACATCGCTGGCGGCTCAAGCGCGAAGGGAGGGCTGGACACAGCCACGGGAAGAGTGACAGGAACACAGAGCCCGAGTTCCACAGCCCTGCAGAGCCCAGGCCAGGCAGGGGACACCAGGCAGGGGACACCAGGAGCCCTTGCCACCCACACCAGGAGCCCTTGCCCTCATTCCACAGCAGGGAATCCTCCCTAGGGAAATGTCTGGAAAGAGGGCTCAGCGTTGTGGAAACTCCCATCACTACCCCCAGCCACCCCATCCTAACCCAGTTCACATTTGGTTTCTGAACACCACCTGCTGAGCCCAAGGTTTCCTTGGAAAGCTGGCCAAACTGGCACTCAGGTTACTCACCGTTGCACCCATCCTATGTAATTTCCAGTGTAGCACAAAGGAGAAAGGGAAGCTCTGGTTTTCTATCCGTAGGCACCATGCTACACCTCAAGGCCCTACACACCACCACCCCAAAGCTCTGTCTACGCCACACTTCAGTCAGTGCTAGTCGAGGAAGACTACAACTAGAGTTTAAGGCACTTCATTCTGAACGAGCCACGCCTGCCAGTCGGCTGTAGGCTGCCGTGGAGAACTCCATTCCCTCGGACACCACCTGTCTGTCACCTCCGTGGAACACCTAGGCTGGATATAATACAAGGAAAACTACCGTTATTGCATAGGACTACACTTGAGTAGATAATGCACCAAACTACTTTTACAACATGGTTGCATGTTAAAAATTAATAACATTGTTATCAAGTAACAGTTATTTGCAGATACAGTAATTTACTCTTTTTTTTGTTGTTTTTTTTTTTCTCTTATGTCAGCCCCAGTGCTGAAATAGAACACGAATTGCTCTAACGGGTATATTAACTACATAGTTATGTTTCCAAGCATATTACTACTTTGTTTCTGTATCACTAAAAATAAATATGTAAGTTCAGTTTCTCTACAGAGTTGTTTTATTACCTAATCTAAATTTTTACTCTACCTTAAATGCGTTTAAAAACATTTTCAAAGTGAGACTGTAATATACAAAATATTCTCAAAATCTCTCTTAAAACACAGAACCCTGCATAAAAGCTTCCTTTCAAGTGTTTACAAAGAACGCAGAAAACTTCCAATGAGTTTTAAAAATGTCAAAAAATCGCTGCAATATTAAGAGGCAAAAATCTTACAAATGAAATACAAATAAATTTAAAACAAAAAGTTGAGGATAACTAAGGAATCCATGCAAATCAAAAGAAACTGTACAATGCAATTAAAAAAAAAATAAAGCCAATTAGATATGTACAACATAATGTGCCCAGCTATAATATGCATAATTTTTTTTGTCCAAAGAGTGTATCCCAACTTACAGTGCTCCTGCTTGCTTTGCCATTGGCAAAGCCACCCATGTGTGTCACAAAACAAAATAAAAATTTAAGAGGAAAAACTTGAACCATGATCAAAAGGAAAACCCAAATCAGCTCAGAGTAAAATTAAACACTCTGAGACACTCACATCTCCCTGCAGTTTCAGCAACAGCATTTTATATCACAATCAACACAATCAGGATGTCTTAACTTGGGTTTAGTTTCTTTTCTGAGTGAAGTCAGGTGGGTATTTTCCCTAAACACTTGTCATGTAAGACCAACATTTGAGGGACACTGTATCTTTAAGGCAGCACTATTCAATTAATACAATTACAAATTGGACTTTTGTTGTTGTTGTTTCTTTACATTCTTAAACTTTACATTTTGTTTCCAAGTAAATAGGTTGCATTTACAATCCTACAATTGCCCCCTCCCCCCCCAGTAGAAACAGACTCTTCATCTGTAATTCTATTGCTTTGAGTAGATTTGACCAGTTCAAAGTTCTTGGCGAATCCAGTTCACAGATTCTGTACATATGCTGTACAATATTTTGGAGGCATTGGTAGTTTTAAAATAGAATATACAAGTTTCTTCACAAAAAATTCTAAAAAAAATTCTATATATATAATATATACACACACGCACACACACTGATGAAGCACGAGGGGAAAAAAAAAAATCAAAAAAATTCTACAAAAGGGTAAATTATTTCATCTACTGATCAAAGAACCAAAGCAGTTTCTGAAAGCTGTGCCAACAGGTGCTAACAGGCATGGTCAGTGTCCTCCATGCTCACGCTGCTCCGCCTGCTACTCGTCTTGGACGCCCCAGGAGACACGGAGGAGAGCAGGGGGTCAGTCACTCCCACGGGGGACAGCGTATCGTCCATCAGGATGTCTTCCAGCTTGGATCCCATTTTGGCAGGAACTCCGTAGGTGCCGGCTGGTTCAGTCACGTTGCCCAGGTTGTCGCTGAAGGTGATGGTGCCGTCAGTGAGGTCCAGCGTGGTGGTGCAGGACAGGTCTGTGTGGTGTGGCATCATCTCCTGGGTACAGTTGTCCAGCACAGGCTCCTGTTTGATGACCCTGTTGACCATGTCAGGGGAGCAAAGGCCTGTGGATGGGACAAGGGACAGTCCGTGTGCCCGGGCCTGCATCTCAAGCTCCTGTGAAGGAGAATAAGGAGCAAATTTAAAGAAAATCTGGAATTAAATCTGTCGTCTTATGCTCGTCTCGCAGCTTCCAGTTTGCTCCTCCTGTACACATTTCCTGCCTTTCCCATAGTGACAAGGGCTTGTACCTTGCACACTCCAGCCCTGCAGATTTTCACCTGAACAGCAGAGTCTTGAAGAGGTGGGTGAACACCATCCCACACAGGCCCTTCACACTCCTCCTCAGCACCTAGACCAGAGCCAAAACCCAGAGCCCTGCAGCACAGACATGTTCCCCTCAGGCTTCTTCTCAAACCAGTGCCAGGACAGGCAGGTTTGGCACCAGGTAGGGTGAGGAAAACATTTAAAAATAGGGGGAAAAAAAAGAACTAGCAAAAGCATGTGTTTTTAGTAATTTTTAAAAAGTCATATGTGAAGGCACAGCATGTCTGTGTGATCCTTATCAATCCTGTTGAGATTCTGGAGGGGACACTTCTCACTCTAAAAGTCTGGCAGAACTGGAAGAGGTCAATCAAAACTGAGCAACAACACTATTCCTGTGCAGAAAAATCACAAGGAAGTCACAGGAAGGTTTCAGACTTCACACAGAGCCAGGATTCTTCAAATTTCCATGAAAAGTTTAAATCCCACCTTCACATTTAATCATACAGAAATGCTCTCTCACAAATATATCAGCACAAGAGACGTTTTGCTTCTACTTCTGCATTCTCTGCTGTGATTGTGCTGTTTCTGGATATTCCTGTCACTGAGGCTGACTGTTACCCTTTTCCATCATTCCAGGCTAAAACAGGCTTGTAATGGCACACTGCAAGATCAGAGGAGAAGGTGGAATGAGCAAGCACTTCTTCCATCAGCTAATGTGCAAGAACCACAAGTTTCTTATTTCATGATTAATCAAAATCAACACAAAAAGGAAAATACACACTTGAGTTTATTTGCTGCCAGATGTATTGTTATTCAAGGGTCTGGGTTTTATGGTATTTTGACTGAAGGAGCCAGAGCAGATGGGCAATACAAAGCAAGATGAAAGATGTTTAAGAAGTGATCTCACTTAGCTTCGAAACACCACTGCTTGGTGCTGCTCTGCAGAAAGCTTGTGTGTTTTTATCATCTCATTCTAACAGCAGATTGCTCAACCAAGCACAAAACAGTGCTGAGGCTCAACTTGACCTGTTCTATTTTAAAGCTGTTTACTTCCACACTTGACTCTCAGGTATTTGCAGCTTCATTATCTCCCTGGTGGATTATCTGGGGTGTTGAGGGGTCTCCTGGCAGGCTGCAGCTGCATGCAGAGCTCAGCTGTTCGTGCTGCAGGGGAGCAGCAACACGAGGATGTCTGGGATATCACTGTCTCCATGTTCTTACACACAGTTCTGGGACACTTTAATTACCCTTCTATAGAGAGGGGTGGCTGTCCAGAAAAAAAACCCCGTGTTGGCATCAAGATTAAGGTTTCCTATCCAGCTTGAAGTGAAGACAAAGGAATTAGAGAAACGGAGTTTTCACCCTTAAATTTCTGAGTAGCTCAGAACACTGGGAACCTGGCTGAATCTAACAAGGCAACAACCCACAGAAAAAAACATATTCATGCCACCTACTGCTTTTTCAGTGCTGAGGAGAACTGTTGTACAGTCCTACAGACTGCAAGCAGCACGGAACACTCCCAAAGAGCTGAACTTAATTTCGTGACTATCAACAACTACATGATACAAGAAGTCCCAGTGCCTTAGGCCTGGCGAACAGAAGAATGCATTACCATATAAATATTTTTGATTATATGGTTTGGAACTAGCGTTTGCCATGGTAGAACAAAAACAGACCACTCATAAGTGCTTCTACTAGAGTGTTAGGATTCTTTTTTTTTAAACTAAGGTATCTTGGGTTTTTTTTGGAAAAATCTCTGCAGATATCTCAGCACTGCCTGCCGTTAATTTAAACGCTGGTTCCTTCTAACTAGCACCCCACAAGCCACCACTATTTGCAATCACACGCTGCGACACCAAGAGCATTTGCAGCTCATTTCTCAGCAAACCTGTATTCTGAGCAGCAGGTGCCTGTTGGCATGCTCCAGCTTCTTCTGCCTGTTCTCCAGCTCCTTGGTGCGCTGCTGTTCCCTCTGCAGCTTGCGGATGTAATCCACCGACGCCTTCAGGATCGTTCCCTTGTTCCAGCGCATGTCGCTGTGCAAGGACACACAAGGACAAGGTAAGGCTCTGTCTCACAGCTGTTCCCTCCACACCTGCACCTGTGACTGCTCCTTACCCACACATAACACCTAGCTGCTATTTAGTGCGGGTTTGTGGATGCTGAAGGCGTTTGCAGTGCTCTAGAGGGGGCTGGAGCACAGCCCTTGGGAAGCACGTTTGCTTCAGAGAGAGAGAGAGGCTGCTGCATCACCATCTCCTCACATCATCTCACTTTCTCTAAATGGGCAAAAATCATCTTACTGCAGCCTGTCAGAGCAAAGATTCACCTGTCCTGGAGGTTGGTACTGAGACATATTGTTGTGCTGGCCTTGGAGGAGGCTGCAGAGCCTCTCTGCAAAGTAACTGTGAAGTTGCTCCATAAGCAAGTGCCTCAAAATAGTGGAAAATCTCCCCAAAATCATCACGGGGCATTGATTCAGATTTAAGTTGACTTTCAAACTTCAGAGCAAGGAAGTTTCCTTGCTACTGAATCAGCATTGAGAAAGTGTCAATACAAGCTAAAAGCAGCAAAATCATTGTAGAATTATCTCAAAGAACACCTGGAAATTACAGCAAACACTAACAAATTATCAGTGAACAAGCACAGATTTAAGCTCTTTATTTTCCTTCTTTTTTTCCTTTGGAAGGAAGGGGAATGGATGGCTTCCCAGATAAACTGCCCTCCATTTTCACTGAAACAGAGACCAGTTCTGTCTTGTCAAGCTGTAACATCTAATTAATTAAAAGAATCATTTAGCAGGACATGCAGCCATCTAAGCAGCCAGACCAGCATAAGGTTTCCCATCCTCACAACTCTGGTAAGGCAGTCAGTCATTCCCAGCACCAAGCCCAGATCTGAGACAAAAATCATCTAATTAATACAAACACGAGCAGGTTCCAAAAGGGGAAAAATTAACCCCTCAAAAAAAATCTTCAAAAAATATAATGGGACCTTTCAAGCATTTCTGCTGTCACAGAGTGCAGAGAGCAAGTAGGAAACACAGGAATTTGGGGTTTTTTTTACCTCCTCCCTCCCACAATCTCCCTGGGCGTGTTGTACTTACGGGTCATTTGACTTGGGTATCAAGGTGCCCAGTTCTTTTATACGATCATTAATATTAAATCTTCTTCTTCTTTCAACTTTAGGAAAAACAGCATGAATGTTACAAGTAATATTCACACTTAATCACAACTTACCAAGTGCTTTATCAAAGATTTCTTTAAGTACCACTGAAATGTTTGCCTGAAGCTTAAAATCCAGTGATAATTTATTTTGCTCTCCTACACATGGACACACTAAGATAGAAGTTCTGTCTATACTGTAAATTTTGGGACTGCAGAGTTTAGCTGAGACTAAAAATCAGAATGACTGATTCTAGGGATAAGGATCACAGACAAATTCAGAGACAAATATTTAGATGCTCAAGGAAATCCCAAGAAAGAAAAAGGGACAAAAGGCACAGTCTCTTTTTTTAAAAGTCTTCCATGTGCAACATTTTGAGGATCCAAAAGTCAAATTTAAATACCAATTTTCCTGCATTACCTTTTCATGCTATGGAAAAGGCTTCTGAGTGGCTCAAGGCATGAAACAGTTCCTTTTTTCTACTACTATAAAGTATAAAAAGAAAAGATATGGATCCTTTATTAAGTCATTAGATGCATAATTATTTTAAAACACTTTTTTTCCAATTTGGAAATACGAGCTCCTTTCAAAAATTAAATTTACAAAATTTCCATACTGAGGACCCATTTGTTGTTTAAAGTCACAAATTGATCAGATATCTAATATTTAAATTTAAAAAATTAAAATTAAAAAAGTAAAATTGTGCAAGGTGGATTTGTTAGAAGCAATTGGGTCATATGTTGAACCCAGCAATTCCATCGACAACAACCACTCATTCACTTGGTTTATTGAAAACAAATAAAAATAGAGTTACAATTCAGTAGTAGATTTAAGGACACATTTCACAAGAATTTGAGATGTTTGATCTATGGGCACAACACAATGATCTTGTGCTTTATACTATGTGCAGCACCTCATGCAGATTTAAAACATCAGTATTTGAGCATTTAATACCCAAAATCATTCTGAGAATTGGTGCAAAATGTGAGGAACCAAAACTTACTCAAGTTGTGATTGTCTTTCTTTTGCCTCTCCTTAGCCAACGCTCTCGCTTCCGACTCTGTGGGAAAAACACATGCTGTGCATGTGAATGAGGTAATGAGAATTAAAACAATTCAATCGCAGCCCTTCAGCCTGAGAAATGCCTGCACAGGAAGCTGATGGGTATTTGTCACACCAATCATTTCCCCCATTCCAAGGAGCAAGAAGGGCTTGTGGATGCCAGAACACAAGGCTGGGACTGAGCTTCACCCCTGCACCTGAGGAGCATCTCCTCCCACACCTCCAGAGTGACTCCCAGGATGGGAATGTTTCCCACGGAGGCCCTGACTCAGCAAGGGATCTGAGGACAGCCAGGTGCTGAAATGCAGCATGCCTTCCCCGTGTGCACACCTGTCCCAGGAGCTGAGCCACGGGAACAGCATGCCCAGGGCGCTGCTGCCTGCCCAGGATGTGACACACGCAGGACTCACAGGCTCTGCTCGCCCAAATTAACGCTACATCCTTCTGTGGCACGTGCACACACACCACCACAGCACCCAAGGGATCACTTAAGTGACCTGTTAAGAACAGTGTATTTTCCAGCTATGCTAACTGTTTCTATTATATATTTTTTAAAAAAAGATGAAAAATTCAACACCTTTCTTAGCAATAAAACAATGGTTGTTGCTTTGGGAAAAGCAAAAAGCAAAGTAATGGCAGTCATGCTGCACAGAACTTATCTCCTCAACTCAGAACTGCCCTTCACCTTGCTCCACACACTTACTATCTATATTTTATTATTCTATTATTATTACCATTATATTCTATAATAATAATAATAATATAATTATTAACTTCAGAATGCAATAGTTCAGGCAACAGCACAACTAAATTTTTTCTTTTCAGCTCTCATTTGGTCCTAAGTTTCTCAAGCAATTTCAAGTATTTTATCTTTGCTTTACCCCTTTTCATGTTTTTAAAAGGTGAGGTCATTAAACCTTGCCCAATTGCATTCAAATCCCCAAACCAGCAAGCACTTTGCAGTTCCACAGTAAGTCAGTGAGGAGCAATGAGTGCATCATCTTTTATCACAAATTCCACTGTGAAAACAATCCCTCACTGTAGCCCATAAATTCCTTCTGTATTACTTTGTTTTGATCAGAAAAAGACTCAGCTAAATTAATTCAGATAAGCATAGCATATAGACATTCAACTTATTTCAGCTTTGTTTTGATGTATTGAAGACTTCTATAAGACCATATCACTCACAATCTCCCCTCTCTTTCTGCCTTCTTGGCCTGAAGCCTGACACAAGCACCTGCAGAAAATCCATCAGTTTGCACATCCAAGTTGGGCTGAGCTTGCAGCCCACAGCCCCTGGAATTTTCTATACTTGGGGCAACAAAACTGCCTGTAATGCAGGACTTGGAGCAGCTCTCCTCCCTTCCCACCCTCCTCTTGCACAGTTCCATCTCTGTACAAGCTCTGCTTTTTTGTAACAGCCACAAATCATTGTGTGCTCTGGGTGTCTTCTTTTGATGCTGAGTTCAAATTCTGTGCTGTCCCATAAATGCAAATATCTCCTGGCTCAGAGAGGTGGCATTTCCTCATGGCTTATTAACACTGCTCTGCTTAAACTAATTTCTGCCCAGAACCTGCTTTGCAACTGAGTCAGCCTGTGAGTTTTCACAACAGAAACCCAGAAAGATGACAGACAAAAAAGTAACCAGGCCCCTACCCTACTGCATGGTCAGTGACTCTCTGTTGGGCTTAAGAACAGGCATTTCTGGGCATTAATATGATTTTGCCATCAGTTCCAGAGTAGATCTCCATTTATTCAGCCTAGAGACAGCCCCACCTTGTATATGCACCCTATGTGTAGTTATATTCTTCCAAGTGAGCAGAAATAAAACATGCCTGTGAATATGAAACTTATTTGCTTCAAACTATCTTGCTCCTGTACACATGTGCTTGAGAAAAAGGTTTTTAGTGTCCCACTCTCCTGCCCCTGCCTCCCACAGCTTGTTCAGAGCATTGCTGCAGGAACTGGCATAAAATTTGAAGGAACATTTCATTTTAATTTAGTGATGCATATTCATGGATCACAGAATGGCTTGGGTAGGAAGGGACCTTAAAGATCATCAAATTCCAATCCTCCAAGTGCCTAACTTTACATTTTAAAGGATCTGCATGTCCAGATTTCACATCATAACAGGCTATTTGCTCATTACTGCCCTCCCCTACTGAAGTAAAGCCCCAATGTGTACCATTCCTTGACATGAATCCCACAGAGACTCCAGATGTGAAGTTGTTAAAGTTTGGTGTTGACAGAGCAAACAGTAAGCCCAAGCTAGAAAACAGCTCTGGAAAAGGTGCATGGAAGCTTCCTGGAACACAACATAATGCAGGTGTGACTGTAACAATTAAGGATTTACATGAACTTGTGACAGTGAACACAGATGCACCCACACAAAAACACAGGCTGAAAGTAACTGTTCACCCATATATTCTTTCCCATAATCACAGAAATTATGTCCAGTATCACCTGAATTAAAATGATACTATTACTCCAAGGTGGTATTTTAGATGTATTTACCTGTGAGCTCCCTTTTTATATTAGGAAGATTAGCTGGACATGAGTTGCTGATGTTTAGTCCTGGAGGAGGCATGCTTTGGTTGCCATAAAGGTCAATCAAATTGCCAGACACAGGCAACTGGAAAAGATAAACAAGGAAAAGGATCATTTGGTTTGCCTTTATGAATGCCTTTGTACAGAAGAACAGAGTCAGGATATGCTAGGTAATCTGTGCTCTTTTCCATGTGCAAACAGAGCCTGCAAGAAGGTCAGCAAAATCCACAGATATTCATGGACGTGAGGGGTGAAACATCTACACTGGGAAAATTCTGTTCTCTCTCCTCAAAAGTATGCAGACTTAAAATATTAAGAGGTAAGAGAAGAGGCAAAATGCTGATGATATTGCTGCACTGCTGCTCCTTATTTTTCACTAAAACTATTACATCTATATCCCTTAAACTTCTCTCACATCTCCAAGAGCCTACAGAACTCTCCCAGAGAAACCCCCCACTTTTTCCATGGATATGTGAGTGGAAGCACTTTGCAAGTTGTCACATGCTGGAACAAGAACACTGTATTAATTAATCACATTTTTCATGTGATTTGAAAGCTACCTACACAGAAAACATTTCAGTTTACTTTGTTTTTTGCCTTATATAACAAGAACGCACACCAGTAGGAGGAAGATTATTTTTACAGTAAGTTTCCTCAATTGCTTGTTCACTCTGCTGTGTTTGTTTAGGTATTGAAACAAGTACATTTATTCAGAAATAGGACAGTATTTCAACAAGATCTATCAAAGCTATCCCTTTATACTGAAACATATTTAAAGAAGCTTGCAATTATCTTGAGTGGATTATTTTACCCATCTCTTATTTGGTTTTGAAAAGACAGGTATAAAACACTCAGGTATCTTATCTGAGTGGCAACACTAATCATCACTGCTGCAAAGAAAACCAATCCCTGCAAGACACTGATCCTGCAGAGATTAGAGTAGGTATTAACTTTACACCCATGTAAATAATGCTGGTGAATACAATGCAGTGAGTCACAGCCAGGACTATTAAACTCCTACTGATGGGCCTTGCCAGACTGGGACCCAAGAAAATTTCTCTGCCATATGGAAGCAGATGAAACAGGAGTGGATATGTAAAGTACCACCAGCTAGAAGCCATGCTGATGGTTATTGAGAACAGATAATGGCCAACTACAAAACCAAAGTCCCCTGACTCAGTTTAAGAGACAGAGGAATAAATGTAACTGAATTCTCACTATGAGTCAGCCTGTTTGAAAAAGGAAAAAAAGGAAGATCTAACAGTGCTGCTCAGGTCACAGCTGTGCTGGCTGTGACCTGCCCACATTGGTGCCACTCAATCTCACTGCTCTGCAAGGCTGACCCTTGTGTCTTTGGGTCCCCAAACACATCCCTGACACCAACACAGCAAAGCGTCACACACCCTTCTGACTTGGATGTGCTTGAACTATTCATGCTCCTAAGCATGGCAGAGCACAAAGACCTTGTTTATAGCCCAGGGACTTGAAGTTCATAACCAGACATGTGAAATCTAATTAGGAACTTCAGAAATAAAGATTTTTTGTTAGAAATCTCAAAACTGGCACCTCAAAGCGTGGGTAAAGCAGCCAGGTTGTAACGAAATGTGGAGAACACCGAGCTGCTTTCCTTACTGCAACATGGACCCTGATTGCTACAACAGTTTGTGATTGATTTCTTTCCCCAAAGGAGTCAAACACTGAGCCAGATTTCCATGTCAATAAACAGGACCAGTGTGAGCAATGATCACAAAGGGGGACAGAGAAGACAGGCAGCAACTGCTGAATATGCACATGTGCGTGGCTGCTAAAGCTGTGCACAGGAATGCTTATCAGAGAAATTCACATTAGGAGGAGGGCGATGCCAGCAATCTCCACTTAAATCAGTGATCCATGAGCAAAGAGACTGATCAGCTCCTTTCTTTGACCACTTTCTCCAGCATCCAAACCCCACAGGTCAAAGCTTCAGCTGTAACATTTTCCTACACATGGTCCATGCTCAGTATGAGTCCTGAGAGGCCTTTTCTCCAGGATGGCTGCAGGTCACACCTCTGGGACTAACTTACACTAATTCCTTTCCAAAAACAAAGTGCATGCAACACTCTGGGCCATGTCACACAAAATACCTGCAGCTAAAGATAAGTTAAAATTGAGGCACATCCTCTGTTCTCAATTTTGTAACAGCTCCCAGAGGAATAAAATCAGTTGACTAAGGTAAACCCAATAATCATTAGTGCAGGGTTTAGTGAACTGGGAAAGGGCAGGACCCCTGTGCTGAGGGCATTGGTTTGAGATACACAAGACAGCAGTGTGGTGAGCACACAAAAGCAGCCACTGGACTTAAATGGGGCAAAAAAAGCCCAAAAGGAATTTATTATGTGCCCACTACAGTGACACCTGGACATTTATTTCAATTGTTTCTTATTTAAAGAAACTGGGAAAAAAATACCAATTGTTAGCAAACATTTTGGCTCTAAGACAGTAGAGCCTTTCACCACCATCCTCAAGTACAAGATGGGAAAATGTCAAAACTTCCACAGCCATTTCACAGGGATGCTGGAATCTCAAACTTGAGAAAGACATGGAATTTTCTGGAGCTAAGGAGGCTCCTTCCCTGTCTTCTTCAAAATCTAGCATGTTTCCAACCTAAATATGGTTTTCCTTACAGCTTTCTTAGCTATTTCTGGCTAAGAAGGAATTTAAATGCAGCACCAGCCAGATCATCCACCTTTACTCTTCCAAAAAGTAAATGCAGGAAGGGCGGCTTATGCCAGGTTTAGCATGTTATGTTCATTGAAACAGCATGGTTGAAAATGCTTTCACTTGGGACACTTAGTATTTCAAGGTCCTGGCATCACAAACTGCACAAACACCAAGTAAAATAAATTAAAATCTTCCTATCGCTCTGCATCTGCTTCTTTTTTTTTCCCCTAATAATGGCTTTTATATAACAGAAATTTGAAATATGGTAATTATGACTGCAGATTCATCATAGTGTACATTCATAGGAGTCTGAGGCTTTCATTTCTCCTCCACTACTCCAACAAAACAAGCACCCACATTCTGTCTAAAATCACTGAGACATCAGCTATGTGATCAACAAGGCTGTTTCTAAGGTACCAGCACACCCTGGATGGGCTCTGCACCCCAGCTCGTGCAGCCCACAATGGATTGTGATGTTCCCTGACCTACAAGCATCATTCCCTGTAACAAAACTCCTCTCCTGTGGAGTTTAAATTCCAGAAGAAAGTCACATTTACAAGTGGAGCTGTACCTATTCACAGAGCTTTCCACACCAGGCTCTGGCTGGAGTTGATTAGCTGGATGAATTAATTGTTATCTCCACAAGAGCACTTCACACAGTACTCAGTAATTCAATTAGCAGGTGATACCTAGGCAGAAAACCTTCTCTATAAGCTAGTTACCATTTTGTGATACCTTCCACCAGAGATATTATTCCACTCTCACAGCTGACTGCAATGGGCCATTCTCAATTCAAGGTACTTGGGAACTCCCTTAGCTTGCCCTACACAGAAATCTCTGATTTTGCTTATCAATTAAGTACTGTTACCAACTGTAACAAACTGGTCCTTTTGTTCTTTGTTGCTTATGGAACAACAACTGCCTTTGTCACAGACTCAGCACAGCTATTTATAGCCTGTGTCTCTTTAGAGACCATTTCCCCATTTCCTCTCTTCATTTCTCCTACCTCAACCTAGCTCAGTCTGCAGGCAATAATTCCTTATTAATAAAATGCGTGTTTTAAGAGCTAAGTCCTGTCCCAAAACAAGTGTCTGGCTTGGTTTTTTTTCCCTAAACCAATTGTTGAGAAACATGGTTCAATTTCCATCTCTTCAGGATTGGTACTAGGCCGATCCAGAGACTGAAATACGCTTTTTTCTTCCAGTTATTTAAACTTATCAGTGAAGAAGTCCTAATTTCCCTGTTTCATATCCTTATTTTTCAGACTTCACCACACAGAGTGGGAAAATTCTGAAATTCCACCGTAATTGTGATCAGGCAGCCTTTACAAGGCTTCTTGCCATGCAGCAAGCACAGCAAAGCACAGGAGGGATGCAGACTACCCAAAACAATGACTACAGGGGCTCCTTGCACCAAAAGAGTGCAGAGTATCCTTCTATCCCTGCCTGGAAGCAAAGAACCACTCTGAGGTCCCTGTGAAATGAGAAAAGAGAAAAGCATAAAGATATCCAAGCCCCTTCTGAATTCATGTGTCACAATCCAATGGAACTTCAGATAAAGGACTCAAGAAGAACTTCATCCCTCCATGGGAAAAAAAAAAAAAAAAAAAAAAAAAGATAAACTGAAAAACAGATTAACTTTTTGAAAGCTATCTTTTGTCAGCTTCTTGAGGTTTTCTCTCAGATTCCAGGACAGCTGCACTTTGCAAGCCATCTTAGATTAAAGGCAGATTTATTCTCCGCAGCAGGACCGTGCAGCTCTCTCCCTGGGCGCTCAAAGGGCACCATTCAGAAGGGGAGGCTGGTGGGACGCTGCCTGCGTCACCCACCCTGCTCTGAGAGGGCTCTGGGGATCTGTGGGAGCACAGCACCAGGTTAACATGACATCAGACAGCTACTGTCAGCAAATGCAAACCCATGCCACAAAATCAATGCTCTGCGGTAAGCCGTAAATTCTGGCAGCAGATGAAACAGAAGCAGACGCCAGCACTGGCAGACATCTACTCAGTCAGATCTAACAGCACTTAAGCCTAAGGCAAAAAATTCACTGGAGCTACCCTCCACAGAAGATCAAAATCAGATTATGCCAGAAGTATGATTATATTAATTCTCAAAGCAATGTGAACCAAACCAAAAGAGCCACTTGGAGGACACCTGTGCTTTCCCTCAGCGCTTTCTGCACCTCTGTGTTCTTGGCTTTTATCACAGGTTTCTCACATCCCCTGCCTTGTTCAGTTTTCAACCCTCTTTCTTCCCTCCCTTTTGTTTGTTTGGAAGATTGCTTTTTTAATATTTTTTTTCCTCCTGCTAAATTCTGTAATATCTTTGCTGACATCTAGCTGGGGACTTGTCCCCAGCTGAAATCAGGCAGAGATAAAGCTGTGATGTTAGAGATAACAGAAAGTGTCTCTGGACAGGGATGCTAACACACAGCAGACAATTTCTTACTTGAATATTACAACATTCAGGAGCCTGGGATGCCAGAGGTTCCTTCTTTTCTGAAGCAAAGTATGAAGTCCATCACAATCTTCAGTATCAGTGGGAACGAGCTACTCCTGGTAGCACAGTTTACCCCTCTGCTGCAATCCTTTTACCACTGACTTAGAAATAAGAAAAGCAAAATTGTCCTTTGTATTCTCTCGACCTGACTCCAGCTTGTATTTTTCAATTCACATTTTTCATTGCAACTGTATTACCTTAAACTCTTCAAAGCAAATCTAATTACTCTCTGTAGAACAACACAATAACTACTTAATTGCAAGGAAGAAAAGTCCTGCTGCAGTTTTGCCTCCTCTCAAGGAAAACCAGTTAGGCTTAACAGGGAAACCAGAAGGAAAGGCCCATTGTACCGTGTTTGCCATTTGCAGGGCTGGGTCCACCAAGCCGAGGATTTCTTCATTGTAACTGGACTCCAAGCTAATGATGTCATCAATCACGTCATCCATCTGTAGCGCAAAGAGAAACAGGACAGTTATCAGAATCACAGGGACACAGGGGGCTGACCAAGCCCTTCAGAGGGGCCTGCGCAGCTGGGCCATCCCTCAGCTGGGACTCCTGCTGTCCTGTCCAGGCAGGACACTCAGCTCGTGGCAGGGCTGAGGATCCATGGTCCAGCCCCCTCCTCCCACCAGCAGCTCCCCTGCACTCCTGCCCACGGACACACTGCTCCTCCTGGGCAGTGGAGGAGGAAACTGTGGAATAAATGACTCTAAGGACATGACTCCCTCTCCCCACTGCTGCTTCCCCTCCATAAAATGGGACAAAAACCTGGGCACAGGCAGAAAACCAAGCCCTGGACATCTGCAGGGAAGGAGAGGGAGCAGGGATTTGCTGCTGGCCCCCAACAGCAGAATCCACTGGATTCATATCCCTCACATATCCTCCCAGGTGTGTGAAGGACATGAATGCTGGCCCCTGACAGCAGAATCCATTGGATTCATGTCCCTCACACACCCTCCCAGCCCAGAGCTGATTTTAGGTGGCACAAAACACCTTTTTTCAGTGGCTGGGCTGGAAGGTGCATCCAAAAGCTCCTGCACAGGCAGGAGGAAACAGCCCTTCACAGCACCCACACATGTGCTCCAAACTGTCCTGCAGGATTGACTACTTCAGAACAGGACTATTTCCTTTTTGCTCACTATAAAAACAGAGCTTAAATGACAGAGATCTACAAAATCAATGCATAATGGTGATGGTAAAAGTAGCAGTACATGGGATTTTTTTATCAGCTCCAGAAAGTGTGATCACAACAAATTACACTGACTGGAAGTGAGGGCAAGAAAGGAACTAACAGTTACAGCCCATACCCAAAGTCTTGTTACTGATTCTGGTAAGAAATAAAAACCCCTCCGTTTTAAGAAGAAGAATGAAAATATAAAAGGGTGATTACTGAGGATGAATTACCACGGATAGATTAAAGCCTTCTCATATAATTTTTTAAAGCACAAGTGTGATCTGCATAGAAATGTGGACTTAGAGATTATCAGGGCAAAACCACATCCATGCAGTCTTGGAAAACGCAGTTAGAAAAGACTTCCTGATGCAAGACCTTAAATGGTTGATGTGTTTTTCTGCAATGGCATTACTGTGCTAGAAGAGCATGAGCCTTTTCCAGATATCTTCATGTGCTTTTGACACCAATGGTAATAAACAACATTGCTGTATTGTACCATAAATATATCTTATATTCAACTTCTTAAAGACACTGTGGGGCAAGTTTATTTTTCAACATAACATGAAAGAAACATGCTCATTTAGAAAGGGGACCTGTGCTCCACCTCCTGTGTCATCCAGTACCTGCATGCATGATGCTCGTGAGTGTGTATTCAGAGCCGGGCACTCACTCTCAACCCTGCTTTGCTCTTCAAATTTATAAAATCCCTGCAGATATAAAAAGGAAAAAAACAAAAAAAAAAAAAAAAAAAAACCAAAAAAACAAAAAAACAAAAAAAAACAAACAAACAAAAAAAAAAACAAAGAAGATGAAGAAGAAAAAGCAAAGCATGGATCTGAGTTCATGGCACAGTCTCAGTCCCAAAAAGAGCACAAATGAAATAGTGTCATGCACACATGTCCCCGATGACACAGCAAAGTGAAGCTGTAAATATCCTCAAGAAAAAAGTGTCTGGGTACAGCTGGGACAATAGGATGGAAATATCTCATTTTCATTTCTTTCAAAACTATGGAGCACAAGTATTACCCTTGCATGTGCAAAGTATGTTCTGTAATAACTGTTTCTCCAAGCTGTGTAACATTTTGCTCATGGAATGCATCTGTACTAAAAATCTGGCACAAAAGCTTGAAGGGGGGATGAGAGGACAAGAGGAACTCTACAATTGCCTCCTACTGTTCATGTTACAAAAATTCTGACATGATTCTTATATTTGTTAATATCTTCCCAACTATTTTCCTTTAGATCCTGAGCACACATGTAACATCTAACTCAGTTTTTGCCAATAAAGATTAAGACATGGTTGCAAAGGACTTCTAGACATAGGCTGTTGAAGTCCTATATCTGCAGCACTGGAACAGCAATCAGTGACATTTTAGGGCACATTAGCTGGGATAATCTGGCCTTCCAGCTATGCAGGAGACTTGCTCAAATTTTACCATAAAAATACCTAAAATATCTCAAAATAGCTTTGTGTTTTTTTCAGTTATTTTTGCTATGCTCTTTGCACTTTCTAGACGAACAAGCCATAAATAACATTATTCCAGAAAGCTACAACTTACAAAGCTGCTTTGTATTCTCCAAAGGTCAATTATTCTCTGTGCACATCAAGCAACAGGGTGGGGAACAAGAAAAGTAGTTTTAATAAGTATAAACTAGCTAAAATGGTTCAAATGAGAGGAAGCTGGAGGGATATGGGCTTTTTACCAAAAATATCTATTAATCAGGCAGACACAGAGGTAGCAGTCACAATTTCATGACGAACATTTACATTTTCACGACGAACAGAAAAAGATAAACAGAACATCTTAACGGTGAGCAAGTACGGTTTTAAAACAACTTGATTAAAGCAGATGACAGCTCTGTGTTAACAAAAACACGAACAGGAGAGCTCTTACCTCTTTCTCACAGTTGGAGTTGAGGGTGAGCATAGCCATGGGGCTGTTGGGCGCGCTGCTCCCCGTCCCAGGTGGCATGACGTGATCCCCAGGCTGGTTTGGACATGGCAAGCTCAGGGCTTGGTTGGCATGTTTATTTGCTAGAGTGGTAGAGAGGTACTGCTTTACCTGCTGCCGCTGGGCCTGCTGAATGTGGTACTTGGTTGGATTCTCAAGGTGAGTCTGCACCTGTACGACACAATTTGAAAAGGATAAAAGGGTTTTATTGTTTTACAACATCACTGCAGCTGCTGTGGATATCAGCTATAGATTTGTGACATAAGGACGAACATGTACAGCTCCGAGGAAGTCCACAGTGCTTCATGAACTCACATTTGGTGGCAAGAAATCACTTTATGATTTGGCCTTTCAACAGCTGACTTACTATCAGTACACCAAAAAGTTCCAGCTATTTTTCTACAACATGAGATTTCTCACTTAAGACCAACACTCGGGTTTTCAGTTGATACAGACACTCCAGAACAGTCAGTTCTGAGTTCAGACCTTCAGCTATGTGACATTTAGTTTTCACTAAAATATGGAGAAATGACTTGTACTGCAGGACTCATTTTACTTGTTAGTAGCTAACAATTAAAATCAAGGAGAATGGATTGCTATCCTTAATCCACTATCAAATAATAAAGATATAAAAGGTCTCTTATTGGTTGTTTAGGTTTTGAATGTTTGGGTTTTTTTAAAATCAATACCTTGGTAAAAATAAAAGAAGAAACAAAGACACCTTTTTCTGCCTACAGATTATTTATACCTCAGATACACAGCCTAAATCATATACAAATAAGACAGCCTGTTTATAAACACATCATGCAAATAAGATGCAAGAAAAGAAGTGTTTCATTTCAGATCAATCACTGTCGTCAGCAACAGCTATTTTTGTATTTAAGATAAGCTTCTCAGCACTTAGGAATTTTTTACATACAAAATATGAAAATCCTCATACTGAACAACTGTTGCACACTCTAAATAAGCAAGAGAAGAAAGGCCATTTTGTTTTCTTATTAAAATTTTCCACCATATCCTGGAAACTCTTTGTCGCCTTTCGTTGATCATTTATTATCGGAAGCTAGAAATCAATCCAAAATATGGCAAAACACTGAGAACTTACCTTGCTTTAAAATAATTCTATTAAAGTGACTTTTGCTGTTACAAGCGACCCCCACTTATTGGAATGAAAGGAATCAAATAAAGCACCCAAGACATCAGAGGAAAAGGGTTTCCTGTACACTGTACACCTTCTTAGCAACAGGTTTTAAAATAAGTCTCCAATAACAACTCACCTGATAATGGTTATACTCAAGCATTTCCAGCATGCTACCTAGAGGTTGCAAGAGAAGTGACTGCAATATCCTCTGTCTATGCTACTCCAGTTTGAGGGATCCACATATGGAAGCACAACAAACCCCAGAAGAGCAGAAGAAACTTGATGGCCACTGCTCAGACTTTTAGTAACCTACGCTAATTAGCCATGCAAGTGGACAAACAAACAGTTCACACAAGGCCTCCTCTTGGAAGTTATGCAAGTTTAAGTTATGCTCTAAGTATTGGTATTTTTTTTCCCCTGGCTTTGATGTCATGCTTTTTCATAAACATAAAAGGACCTTTTAAAGTGATGGGCTATCAAAGTCAGATTGACAGTTCGCTCAAGGCTAATTCGCTATTCAGCTTTCGTTCCAGTCCTACTAACACACAATGGTAGTTTTCTTTAGCAGTAAGGTTAAAAGTTTTTAAGTACAGAGCAAGAAATAACTGAATAAATGCCCTATGAGTCTAACACATATTCCCTGGCAGTGGGTGCCCTGGATAAACCCACAGGGCTCTGCAGTCCTGTCCTCAGCTTCCCAGCACAACCCAGGACCTGCAGCAGAACGTGAAGCACCTGAAAAAGCTCTACCCCATCCTCAGCTTCCCTGGTGCTTCAAAGCCATTAATTCTGTCTCAATCTACAGTTGCAAGTTTTCCCATTCAGGAATGGCTGACAAAGGGCTAATGCATGTTCCAACTGCACCTATCTGCACTTGGGCACAGTCCCTACACCTTCCAGAACGTACTTTTTCTTTCTATCCAGCTCCTTGAAGAAGTCTGTACTCAAAACACATAAAAAATGCCCAAATGGCCTTATTTTCTGAAGTCTGAGCTCACAGGGAAGCACATTAAGATATTATTTCTACAAAGTTTAATCTGCTTTGTTGCACTGTATCAATAGACAATACTGTGCTGTGATAAGTACAGCACTTTGTCAGTTCCAAACTGCATTATCAATTTTCCTATCATCAGTGCTAAGAGCCATACTATCCAGGTAAGTCTATTTTCCACTATATTTTCCTTGTCCAAGAAGATGAAGTTGTCAGCAAACAAGTGGGTTTCTCTCTGAATATGTTATTTTAAAACCAATCCCTAACTGCCCAACAGAATCTGCACATTCCTTTTCCTCTGCAGGCATCAGGTATCTCTGCTGTTCTCCATCCCAGGATGGAACAAAGTCTCTCCTCTCTGCTCCCATCACTTGCCCATCCTTCACACTCTCAGGAGAGACACCAGAAAAGTTCCAAAATCTACATCTCAGTCCTGTATCATCAAATACTACATTATTTATAATATATACCAACACACTTAACTGAAACCACTACATGTCAAGTTTTGAGACACACACTGCCTAATTGGCAGGATTTTTGTTGGTGAAACACAAACTTATTTCACAAGAACCTACTCTCCCTGTGATTTTGTTGTGCTATTCTACATTAAAATATTTTATTTTGTTTCTCAATTAATAATTAATGTTTTAATCGTCTGCACTGCTCTCGGCATGTCAGGGAAGGTAAATTCTGAGTTCACATGTCACAAGTTCACACAAGTCTAGTAACGAACCAAAGAACACAGAGAACTGCATTTTCTGCCATTAAGTTGCTCCAAAATGACACGAAGAAGACTTTGATTCTCTGTTTTGTCACTGGCTGCTCTCTTGAGTTTCCTTAGGAGTTCCATCATGGAAATCTGGTGGGGATTACCCTAATGGACTCCATGCTGTTTGTTGAGAATTTGTCTTTGGCCTAGAGCATCCTATTCTGCAGATTCTACATCAAAGACAACCTAAATGTGCCTTCTTGGGCAAACTCCCCCAAATGCCCCAGAGTCACTCTTTAGATAAACCATAAAGCACTCTTCCTTTTTGACAAAATATCCCATGAGCAAAGTGCTGCAAAAAAACCCCAGAAACCCTACAATGAAATTCCACAACCCTGAACTTGAAACCATGAATAAAAGCTTTGAATTAAGATCTAATTTTGGTCCTCAGCCCCTTCTAGCATTTTGGGTGAAGAATAGTTCCTGTTGTTTGTCCAAATTCATGAGACACAAAGTGCAAGATGACAAATTATTGGTTTGGATACACTTCCTAAGAAATGTGACTGAATGAGGACATTAAAGGAAAAATAAACCCACTTGAAACCAAATCCTCTGGATCTGCAACCCTCTATCTCCAGCCATCTCAACCAAAGTGTTGCTGTAATGTTATTCAATTGAGCAGAACACTGGGTTTTGGGCATTTTGGTATTGACAAACAAGAAGCAATGTGAGAATTATTATTATCATCTGCAGAACTTCAGAAATGAGTTAAGACAAGATGGCAAAAAAGATAAATTTATCACAGCATAGTAACACAAGAATTTGGCTACAAGAGTAGAACACTGCCTCAGAAGCAGAGCCCCAAATCTGGTTCAGTTCCAGAAGAGCCCTCAATGCCAGCTCAGCAGCATCTCCCCTTCTCCATGGGCTGGCCCCAGCATCAGGCACTGCTGCACTGAGTCCCTCTGTCAGCCACTCAAGCTCCATCTGCTCTGCCATGCTGGCACTGAGGATGATCTCTTTTCTTCAGATGAAGCACAGAGAAAGGCACTGGAAAGAAACCAACCTGACTGCACCCAGGTGTAACCCAGCGCAGGCCTACAAGGCTAGAAAAGGGTTGGATGGAGCCACCCTGATTACTCAGCACTCATCCCTCACACTTTGGAATGCCCTGGAGAACAACATCACTGGAGCAGGGGAAAGGCTTTCCCATACCTTCACTCATCTTGAAATCTGACTGCTAATTCCAGTGCATACATCCAGTTCAAGTATCTGAGTAGCTGCATATTTTCTTCCACATCATGGAAAGAACAGCAATAATCCATATAAATAGAGCAGATTTCCCAGCCCTTGGGTCTGGTATCAATCAAGCAAACATTTAATCAATGATTTTCACTAGCTTTAAGCACACAAACCATATCAGTGGGAATTTTAGGTGTATGTCAGATGACATTCTTCAGAATCCACATTACATTACACATAAATGTCAGAACCTCTGAGCAGACCCACACACTTCCTTCAGTTTCCAAAAGTAAAAATATTTCCTGTTAAGTGATCAAGGACTCAGGAATTTAAACACAAAGCATAGCTGTATGCTTAAGCACAAAGCACATGGCTCAAGTAGTTCCTCTGCATGAAGCCAACACAAACAACTGAAACAATACTGCTGATACTTGCTCCTTCTGTCGAGTCTTGCTGGGAATCACTCAGACTTAAATTTACTAATGACTTGCTAATGATGGCAAGAACTTGGAACAGCGCTGCAGTAACCAAATTCCTTCTGGAGAGGCCCCCAGGAGAGCTCACTCCTGGGCAGGCACAGGCCAGGGCAGCCTAATGGCTTGGCAAATGTGTTTTGCACAGTGTCATCCAGAAATTAAATGGCTAACAATAAAAACTAACGGGACTTACACCAGGATAAAAATATTTAATGAACTGTGGCATTACTACCACTTGTCCTCTAGGAAAGCTTCAAGGTCACAGAATCACAGAAATATTTAGGACGGAAAAGACCTCTGAGACCATCAAGTTCTGCCATAGCTGGGACTCAATTGCTGTAGGCTCAAGCTCTGAGTGTCTGGTACATCTGGATGAAGGTAACCAGGCTCAGGGAGTTGGTCTGGGTTATTTATGCTCTCCTGAATTTGTCCTTGCACAGGTTTGATTTCTCTGCAATGGGTGAATTCTGGAAGCAAGCACAAACCCAGCAGGCCTTGTGCTGAGAGTACTTCTTGAAGGTGGAACACCAAGAATTGCTTTTCCCATTGCAGTTACTGCTTCAAATCACATAATCTTAATCATCACATCTCCAAGCACTGCTGCTTTCAAAG